GTCCTGGAACTCTTCCTGGAGGTGCACAGGCAGAGAATCCTCTTCCCCCAGGAAGGGAATGTGTACCATTGGCGATGCATCAATAGTAAGATGCTGAGTATGAGACTCACTGTAGGATGAGTGACTGCAGTTGTCACAGGTCTGAGGTTTCTGCCCGGGTTAGAGCAGTCTCAGCTGTCTGGAGGAAGGCACTGTACTGGAGGAAGAAAATTACTGTTCTTTTCCTCTCTGCCAGTGTAAGTGCCACCATCTCCTCTCTGATAACTCACACTGCCCCAATCTCTGCTACTGTACCACCGCCGAGGTCCATACTCTACTACTCTCACTACTGCCTGCAACATCATCCCTCACTTGTTCTTACCCACCCCAACCCCCTACACTGCTAACCATGTATGCCCTCTGCTTTCTACTCACTCTCTTTGAACATGTCACTACTCTTCCGCTATCTAACAGCTGTGCCACCCACTTTCATTCCACTCACTCCCTCCCATTGTCTCATTCCAGGCCCATAATCGGGTGTAGAGAGCCAAGAGTGGTGGGGTGTCCAATATCCACCTCCTCGCCTCCTATGAAGACAGTATCCTGACGCTTGCCAGTAAGCACTGGCCTGTTTCTACAGGGATGCTGAAAAATTCATGTCCTAGCAGCCTAGAGAGAAACATTGTCCATTGATGTGCTACTGACCCATTACTGCCACCATGAATGCACTCTCAATGTGCCTGAACTTCTAGCACTTGTTCACAATGCACTCTGTATTTTGTCTCTTGCAGGCACAAGTCTTGGTGGTCAAGAGACCAGCCTCACGACACATCTCACCCGCCACCTCTGTGGAGGACATTGTGGATGGCGACCTGAGACCAGAGTGGGTATTTTAGCTAGATTGGAGACAGGAGCACATGCTAGTGTTCACAACACTTCCATGTTTCTACACCTGCCTGAGGAAGAAACACCTAAGTCACTGGCACTCCAAGGACTGCTGAAGACCAGCCATTTGCTCAGCGCCAGGATCCCATTGAATCATAGAATCCCTACAGTGTGGAAACAGGCCCTTTGGCCCAACAAGTCCACACCGAACCTCAGAGCATCCCATCCAGACCCATCCCCCTATAACCAACTAATCTACACATCCCTATGGGCAATTTACCATAGCCAATCCACCTAACCTGCACATCTTTGGACTGTAAGAGTCATTGAATTGGCCATTAACCACTTCACTGATACAACCAAACTAGCACAGGGGCAGCAGGCAGGTGGATGCACTGGGAAACCTCAACCAAAGATTGCAAGACTACATCAATGCTGAGTCTGGCACGTGAATGTCTGGATGCTCCCATGGACATACAGCGAGGTCCAGCACTCTCAGAATCTGCTGGATAATCTGCACATAATCCATCACTCCAGCCACTGCTGCCCAATGACAGGGGGGGCAAGGCAACTTGTCCTTACTCCAGGAGTCCCTTCCCCACAGGGAGACGGGGTGGTGCCAGTAGGAACCCAGACAGAGGAAATATCACATACAGATTCATCAAAAATCTCCTCTCAGGATTGTCCAGAAGTGACCAAATCTTCTACTTCCACCCTGCCTGCCTCCGCTCTATGGGAGGGACATTTATTTCTGATATTGTGAAATGGTCAAGAGAGTTTGAGGAGAGGACTCGGTTTCCACTCTGCAGGTTATTACCTAAGGTTCACATGCAGCAATGGTACTTGCTGCTGTCTTTCACCTGTACTGTGCAGGCAGCTACATAATGCTGCCATCCTTTAAAGGGTGTCATTTCACATCACTCAAAAGTGAAGCCCCCTCATTCAGAGAAGGAAACATGTAACCTGCATGTGCCATGTGTGTGAGGCAGCCATCTTCAGTTGAGCTTGTTATTTACAGCAGGATGGAAGGAAATGGTGCTTGCTCCTCTTACACCGAGCCTCAGACTCAGCCTCTTACTATTGGTAACTTTCCCTTTTTGGTCACCATCCTATCAACACGATCAGCTTCGAAATTTCCCACATTCTCATACAACCCATCTACATAAATACTCATCTCCTCACTTTATGTAACCAGCCCTAGGCATATCACGTCAACACACTGGGTTAAAATAGTCCACTGATCTCCCCCATTGAAGCCAGGTTGTTGATGTTCTGTTTTTGATCCCTCTATCCTGTATTACCCCTTTCCTTTCAGGGCTCAATCGTTTCCCCACCTATGGTAATATAATGAGTTGCCCCTCCACCTTTCAAAATTCGTATGCCTTCTGCATCTCAGCCTGCTGTTTCCAATTCCCACAATTAAGTTGCCCTGACAATCCCATTGAGTTTTCATGGATGGACACTGGGATTGATCATGGTCCATTCCTTTGACACACTCAGATGGACGGCCCTGACTGATGACTGACCAGACCCTGGCTGATAACTGTGCAGCTCCCTGACTGACTCACTACGGCTCCCGGACTGATTGCACTGGACCCACAAGGACTCTCCATGTCCCACTCCCTGGCCTGTACAGGTACAGACCCCAGCCCTGATGAATACTATTAGCTGATTGACTAAGCCCAAGCCCCTGGGCAGATATCAGAGGCACCCCATGACTTACTCTGCCAGGTCCTCTACCTGATGGATTTCTCTGTTGACTTGACTGAGTATTGAGACATTAGACATTGAGACATGACCATTAGGATGAAGCACATATAGTGTGTTTGGCGTCTTCATGGTTGGCACATGATGCAGGTATGAGACTGATGTAGCACAGTGATGTGCAATAACATGTCCAACCCCTTGTACTGTTGGCAAGTATGACAAGCTACCTGACTTTGTGTCTGCGCTAAAAGGCAAGTCAAAAGTGTTGAGAGGTTTTAAGGGGCAGCTGAAGATGCAAACCACCAAAAGGTGGGGCAAGAAAGGGCAGGGGAGCTGTGAGCATCAAGGGAAGCACAACATGAGTCAGCACTAAGAGGGAAAGGTGAGCAGCTCTGAGATGCAGCCTGGTCCAATCCATGAGTGGGTGCATGTCCCTGTGTACAAAGTGTCCTTGCAGCAGCATTTAAATGAATAGTGTGTCAGTGCAGAACCTGATTGTAATGGCTTCAGAGCTGTGCCAAGGAGATGTTGTGAGGCCATTACATGTCGGCTGCCAGTGTACATGTATGGGGGCTACTTGCAGTCACTGCCCATAGAGCATGCCCTAAGAGGTTGGTGCATGGTATATAAGATGTAGGCCCAAAGGAACAAGTGGCAAGCTGGATTAATAAGGAACCACCCTCAGTATCATGTCAGGCCATTCAACACTTGGTTAGAAAGTGGGATTTTTGGTTTTTGATGTCAAAATGTTTGTTGCTGATCATCTCACCTGATTTGTACAACTTTCTTGCCATTGCCAACATTGTTCAGATGCTGGGAAGATTCCAGTTCCTGCACTGATTTGGAAACCTTTTGTGACCTCAACATATTTTACACCCATTTGAATTACTTTGAATTGCATTAACTGCTATCAACCAATTTGTATAATGCAAGGTGTCACAGTTGACAATATGACAATTACCAAAAAAATGTTTTTAGCAATGCTGTTTGAAGGAGAATGATTTGCTGGGACCCTGGACAGAATTTCCACCACTGCCGCGCCCCCCACCCCCCACCACTTTTCTCTGAAATGGTATCTTTTACATCAACCTGAGACAGCACCTTACCTGAGAAATGGAATGAAAAAAATAAGAAAATAAATCATATATGTAAATCAAAGTGAAAATGAGTGAACATGAGAAGCACAATTTGAATAGAAATAGAAGAGAGAATTAAGGGTAAGATAGGGATCATAAGGTGTGGCCATTGGAAATGACTAATTTTAAAATCTTCATTATTGATTAATGGGTGGTGGAGGGAAGGACCATGATATTGGTCCTGAGAGATATGTGGTAGATAAGAAAATATTTGGAATTGAAAAATTAATCTTGAATACAGTCTCAAGGACATTTGACGTTGGATTGCGAGCTTTTGATACAAATTTGCGCAAGTTCACGCCTAATTTCAGGAAGTACTTCCTCACAACGCAGAGATTAATGCCTGGCACAATGTTCTGGTTAATGTAGTGAGTCTTGTAATAGTCAATGATGTACTTTGACAGGGAGACTGTAGGTTTCTGCATAACGTTAAGCTAGATGCAGTGAACATTTTCCCATTGGAAATTACATTTGTGGTCTATGTAATAAACTAAATGCCTGTGCATTACATGTCTAGCACAAAGGGGTGACTCATTAGCAAATGGCTTCTTTGACAGTGTCATTGAGGTTTTGCAAAAATTAAATTATTATTCAAGTAAGCGCAGAATTCTTGTTGAAATTTCTGCTGATTCAGTCAGAGATGCAAAAAAGGAAAGAGAATAATTATCCATCCTTTGAACTGAATGCTGATATTGGACACTGCCAGGTATAATAAGATTGAGTTTCAACTAAGTAATCTTAATAATTTATTCCAATTTCCCTTTACTAGTGGAAATTTTCACAAGAGTTCCCTTAATTCTATGATAGCTGGATTTTTTTCTTCACTCTGAAGTAGCAGGCATATTTTCTTTGCTCAGGAATATGCAATTAGTTCTTCAGAAACTTAGAAGCGTATAAGAGTAAATTCTTGATAAGATGTACAGTGAATGAACGTAGAGATATAGAGTTCAGTTTACGTGTGTACATGTTGTGCTTCATCTCTTCCTGTCCAGCCATGAACATGTTTTCACAAATTTCTCATTCCCCCTCTGCCTAAGCACATTGATTTTTAAAGGTTCAAGATTTGTTAATACATCTAATAAATTAAAATTCCACAAGAGTGGCCAAATAAAGGATCACTAAACATTTTCCAATTCACATTAATTTAAGGAAATACATTAGATGTTTGCTGGGAATATTCCGGAACAGTTGTTACAGTTAGGCATTGTTGGCACGGCTAGCTCTAGATAAGAGTTTTATACAATCATTACTGGCAGTACAGATGAGTCCTCTATCCATTTGAGTAGAACCTACCTGACAATGCCCTGGTGGTGGCACTCTCATACAGAGGGACCCCCTGCCCTGCATTGTTAAAGGCCTTCAAAGAAATTACATAATGGGAGCTTGGCTCTGTGAAAGAAAGCACAGTATTAACATCAGTGTTTCTCATTTTCTTAATTAATAACCAGATATTGAGTTAAATTGAGTATGAAACCTCAGACTGCAATCATTTTATGTTGATTCTTAAACAATCATACATCTTGATTCATTCCCCTACCAGTGTATATGTATATACTTTTTCAATATTTGATAATGAGCACCCAAGGTGTAGAAGTCGTTTGTAAAATTAGTCTAATTAATATAAGTCACTGTCAATTTTTATCAAAAATATTGATTTGAAAGAACATAATAGGAACTAAGTGTTAATTACTTTCTGAAGATAACACATGAACTTATTCTGACCCACATCTGCTGCTGTAAGACAGCTTATTATCTAAGTACCATAAAATGCTAATGAAGTTACAACTATGCATAATTTTATTCTTACAGATTGTTATACCATGAAATGTTCCCTTATTTCCACCTACTCTCCTGAAAAACCTGTGATAGGCTAGGAAAAGGAAGTCCCTATATATCTTCCCAGAGAACTCTAGTGACTGGCCTAAGTGGTCATTCTTGATGTTAGACCATGATGATTGGCTTCAGCAGCTAATTTCCAGGGGCCTCTCCTAGTTTCCTGCTCTAACGTCAGGGGTTGATTGAAGAATGACCATTTATGCCATTTCTCAAGATGACCCAAAGCTGCTGCCAAATCACAGTGGAAAGTAAGGGTCACCTGGAGATTCTAGACCCTGATGCTGAAATAAGGGCACTTTCCAATTCGTGTCACTGGCTACAGATTTTAGCATTGGGAACTCTGATTATTAATTCCCTCTTCCTACCTAATGTCTGCTGAAACTGATTACTGTTTCTACAGTTAATGGGGACTCTTACAACGCAGTAGTGGTGTTCCTGCCAGGGCTGATATCACCAATAAATCTTCTTGCATTGCTTCCTGCTTTCAAAACTGTTGTTTTCATTCCATCCTCCAATGTATAAATAACCCCCATTCCTGACCGCCCACCCCACCCCCCACCGCCATGTTCTCAAATGATTATTCCGCTTTTCAGGTTTGACTTCACCAGCTTTAAAACCTCTCCTCCCCCGACCTGTCCATTTTCCGATGCACCTATCCACTCCACCCTTCCCACGGACCAACCACAATAACCCCCCTACCTGCATCACCACCTTCAAAATCTCTCCACCCCCAACCTGTCTATCTTGCCACTCACCTATCCGCTCCACCCTTCCCATGGACCAATCACAATAATCCCCTTTACCTGCATCCACCTATCTCCATCTCACCTACCCTTCCCCCATCACCACCCTGCCTCCATCTATTTATTTCTGGGCTGCCCTCCCCCTCCCCAGTCCTGAAGAAGAGTTCCAACCCGAAACATTGACATTCCTGCTCCTTGGATTCTATCTGACCTGCTGTGTGCTTTTCCAGCTCCATATTTTCTGATTCCACATTTCACCTTCCTTTCAACTTATCTGCTCACCTCCTCCAATTCCATGTTCAAAACTACTCAGGTTTCTGTCGAACCTACAGAGTCATGCCTCACTTTGTCAATGTCATCAATATCTTTTATAATTTTAGCCATATCATTGGTATTTTTCCCTATCCTCTGTTATTCAACACAATCAACCAGTCTGTGTTTATTCAAACTTCTACCCCCTCTTTCTCTGCTTCAAATATCAATCCATCTCAAAATGGCTCACTGACTTTTGCTTCAACAAAGCCAAAGAAATCTGTGCTGCAATAATCCCTGGTTTCTAGGTGCTGTCTCCAATCTGCACAATTTTAATGGTCAAGCATTGATTAGCCACCTACCCGCTGGCCATTTTGGTCAGTTAGTCAACAAGTGATATGGTTTCTGAATCATTTCAGTTAAAATACTATATGAGGCCAGGTCTCAAAATAGGCTGTCAGCTACCTTTTGCAGAAAGACATGCTGCTCAGCTTGCTGAATTACAGTCTGGGAGTAGACATGCATATGTTATTGACCAACATGCATATATTATAAATAAGAACTTCCATTTATATATTGTTTCACTATGGGTTTACTAAAGCAATAGGACAGCCAAAGAAATGTTTGGGTCTGCCTGCATTCACCAGGGATGAAATTTTCCTGCTTCTTACATTTCACATAATTTCCAATACTCCCCATTTCTCTATGTTATTTTCACAGCTTTCTGCCCTAAGAAACTTCCATGAAATAGAAATCAACACACTCATGCAAAAGCAGTTTGCACCGAGTAAAATCCCACTGATAGGAAAGGAGCTGTAAAAGAAACAGTGAACTTATATGATTTTTTTTTAGTTCAGATGGGGTGGGATCTATTTTTATTTGCTGAAAGTGAATGTCATGTGACAGATAACAGGAGTGTTTGAGATTAATCAAACTCATTCAAACTGTAGTGACACCATGCACATAGTTTGAACTTGTATCTCTGTGTGTTACAGATTTGTTTAGAACATTAGCTTTTGCTTTCATTGCAGCAGAAAATATTTTCCAATCATAGATTTACTGTTAAAGGCAGCTGTGTCAGATGTCAAATATTTCCACATGTACTTTGAAAGATAAGGTTCAGATGACACTTACCTAGATTTTCTATGGAAAAATAGCGTTGCTTGCTGTCAACCTGCACTGTCTCAGCATAGGGACTGCCCACTCCATAACCAATGATGTAACCCCTGACCGCTATGTTTGGGTTTAAAGGTGGCGTCCAACTCATGACAATGCTTGTAGTCAGGGGTCTGACATGAAGAGAACTTGGCTGGTCAGGAACCTGGGATTCTGTAATTAAAGAAGAATTTTTTTTGTCAGTTTATCCTTTATACAATTACATATTTAAGAAATGAATTATTTTCACTTTATTTTTCATGCAGTAGCTTTAGGTTAAGCTTACTTCATAATCCTACCAGCATTTTATGCCTTAATCCATCAAAATGCATCAGTGTTTTTTTTTCATTCCATTTAATACTTTTGAACTCAATTGATTGTTAACATCTACAAAAATGCATCGTTTCTCAAAGACAGTAAAATCCCATAAGCAGCAAGGAGATGATCCATTTAACTATTTTGTGATGTGGTTGGCCAAGACACAAGGAGAACACCCTTCTCCACTAAACGTACTCCTATTAAATGGTAAAATCCACAAGATGATTGCAGCTTAATATCTTAAAGTTGATTTTCCAAATGAGCACACCTGGCATGGTGCCTTGCCTGTAGGCAGGAGCACATACTGGAAAATCACAGGTGTGCCTCTCACATCTCTGTCTGTAAATGGTACTGCTGTGGAGATTCTGCTAACTGCACAGTAAGACTGTGTACACAACCCTATTTAAACATATTAGAAATCTGGCAGGCTCTGAGAGACTGCCTGAGATGTATAGATTTAAATCTGGTTTCTGATAGATTCACCACTGACTGGAATTCAGATTTATTCAATCAGATTTTACTTAATCTACACCTGCTTGCCACTGAAGACAAGTAGCATTTTTCTAAAAGATTTTCCCATTTAAATTAAGCTTTCACTGGCTCCCTTTAATGTTTGATTATAAAAGATAGAGATCTCCGCAGACATGACTTCAGCCAAACCTTCTCCCACACTCAAACTCTAAATTCACAGGACCCATTTCTACAAAGGGTTCCAAGCAGAAGAAATCAGAGTTTGGTTCTGTCTGCATATGCCAGGGATGAAATTTTCCTGCTCCTTACATTTCACATAATTTTCAATATCCTCCATTTCTCTATGTTATTCTCTCAGCTTTCTGCCCTAAGAAACTTCCATGAAATAGACAGCCTTTTGTAGCCAAGAAATCAGGAAGCACCCTTTATTATTACAGTCTAGATGCTGCAATTAGGTGGAGTAAGACAGGCAGTGAAATCCTTTCTGTTTGTTCCTCCATCCTTCTCCAATGATAGATATTTAATATCTACAGTTGTCTCCCCATTGTAGAAATTAATGCTGAGGATCACAGCAGATCAGGAGATCAAACTTGATCATACCAACACCTTGGTTCTCCATTACACCAAGCTGTCACGTCCATTATAAAATCTGCACTTTGCCATTCTGATGAAGTTCTCTCTCACTCACTCATACTTTCATATTATTTTTCCTATAAAGTTAGGAACCCTTCTATTTATTCAATGTTAAGTTATAATAATGAAGCACAAACATCTTTAAATAACTCTTCAACGAATAACTTGATTATAATGCATTGTGGATAATACATAACAAAAATCTATGCAGACAGCTGAGGTTGTAGACTTGCTTGCCGAGCCGGTGTGTTTGATTGCAGACGTTTCATCACCCTGCCAGGTAACATTGTTAGTGCACCTTCGGTGAAGCGTTGGTGCTCTGACCCGCTTGTTATTTATGTGCCTCGTTTTACTGGGGTGGTTGGCATTACCTCCAGTTCTGTTTTTCACTGGTTTGTATATCAGGTTCAGTTCAAGATGTTTGTTGATGGAGTTCCGGTTGGAAAGCCAGGCCACCAGGAATTCCCTGGCATGTCTCTGTTTGGCTTCTGCTATTACAGATGTGTTGTCCCAGTTGCATTTGTGTCCTTCTTTGTCTGTGTGTATTGAGACCAGTGAGAATTGGTCGTGTCTCTTGGTGGCTAGTTCATGGTAGGGTGACCAGTGTGTCTGGCTGTGTTGTGTCTTCTTGTTGTGGACTGTTGCGGAAGTAACGACGGTTGTGCTTTTTGGGTATCCATTCTTCTTAAAAACTCCGTATCAGTGCTCCTGTTCTGCTTTGCAACCTGGAATTGCGCAAAGCAGAACAAGAGCACTTATGTGGAGTTTTTAAAAGGAATGGATACCCAAAAAGCACAATCTGCCGTTACTTTCGCAACAGACCACAACAAGAAGACACAACACGGCCAGACACACTGGTCACCCTACCGTACATCAAGGACACATCAGAGATGACCACAAGACTACTCACACCCCTAGGTATCAGGGCAGCCCACAAACCAACATCCACCCTGTGACAGCTACTGACGAACGTAAAGGATCCCATACCCCCGACCAATAAAACAAACGTAATACACAAAATACCATGCAAGGACTGAGAGAAACATTACATAGGCCAAACTGGAAGAAAACTGACAATAAGGATGCATAAACACCAACCAGCCACCAAGAGTCACGACCAATTCTCACTGTTGTCAATACACACAGACAAAGAAGGACAGGGATTTGACTGGGACAACACATCCATAATAGCCCGAGTCAAACAGAGACATGCCAGGGAATTCCTGGAGGCCTGGCTTTCCAACTGGAACTCCATCAACAAACGTATTGAACTGAACCTGATATACAAACCACTGAAAAACAGAACTAGAGGTAATGCCAACCACCCTAGCAAACTGAAGCATATAAATAACAAGCGGGTCAGAGCACCAACGCTTCACCGGAGGCACACTGACAATGTTACTTGGCAGGGTGATGAAACGTCTGCAATCAAACACACCGGCTCGGCGAGCAAATCTACAACCTCATCCACAAAGCCAGCTACAAATCTTCTCAAAAACTTTATACGCAGACAGAGCCAAGGACCCGGGTTCAATTCCACCCTCAGGTGACTGTCTGTGTTGAGTTTACACATTCTCCCCGTGTCTGTACGGGTTTCTGCCGGGTGCTCCGGTTTTCCCGCACTGTCCAAACATGTGCAAGTTAGATGGATTGGCCATGCTAAATTGCCCCTGGTGTTCAGGGATGTGCAGACTATGTAGGGTTAGTCATGGGAAATGCAGGTTACAGGGATAGGTTTAGGGGGATGGGTCTGGGTGGGATGCTCTCCAGAGGATCGATGTGGACCTGTTGGGCCAAATGGCCTGTTTCCACACTGTAGGGATTCTATGATTCTATGTAGATCTAACATTGTGCTGTATATTGCTCCCTTTTATTGTATGGCACTTATCAGTAAAGCTCATGATTAAATATTCTTGTTGCTCCAAAACATTCACAGGTCCTATCAAAAGCAAGTGCTCAATAGCAAAAAAACAAATGGAAACTGAGGCAGATACGCTTAGCTGCAATGAAATGACAGCATGTATTATGCACATAAAACCTGGCACTGGCCTTTAATAAATTTTTTAATCATTTATGGCTTCCATCTCATGCTCCACAAGTTAACACATTCATCATTCACATAACATCCTTTGCATGAGGTATTTGCTATTCAATTCCCTTTTGGTTTGATCTTCACCCGAAAACATGCTCTTTCACTGCACTGATTACTGATGAGTTGTTGACCATCATTTCAATTAGAATGATTCTAAGCTGCAATTGATGTACCATTTTTTTTCTGAAAGTGTTATTACCGTCTAAATCATTCTCAGGTGTTTCCACCGTGAACCACTCAGATGCTGGCCCTGTTCCATTCACAGTCATGGCAGCAACTTGAAAACTGTAATGACCTCCTTTGTCCAGACCTGCCAATCAAATTACAACAGTGGTTAGGCCAAACTGTCATTAAACAGTTATTTTATTTTGTTTGCATGATTCAACTGTTAGAAAAGAAGCTTTAAGTACATAAATAAGCCATTAGTTCTCCTTCTTCTATGTGAACCAACACCCAGTATCCAGTGCATGTGTAGAGCAGAACTTGGCTTAGGTTGATAATTTAAAATGAGTGAGTGTGAGTCAGTACCTCAATTTACATCTTTCCTGCTTTTTGCTTTATTTCCACGAAAGGGCATAGAAATAGAACTAGAAAAAGTGGCAGAAAGGCTACCAACTGACTATCAACTCTTTCACATTATCACAAAAGTCAAGATCTATTCTGTGGAAATCTTGAATGAAATTGGTATATTACATCACTATGAACTTAGAAATAAAAATACAGCAGATGCAATTGTAATGAAACCCGAAAGAACAAAAACAGAAGTTACTGGAAAAGGTCAGTGGGTCTGGCAGCACCTGTGAAGAAAAATTAGAGTTAACGTTCTGACGAAGGGTCAATGGATCCAAAAGGTTAACTCTGAATTGTTTTCTTCACAGATGCTGCCAGACCTGCTGAGCTTTTCCAGCAA